GATTGTGAGAGGGATGCCCGACTGCCGGTTTAGGCCCGATCCCTGTGGGGTCCCAGATTGGAGAGGGTGCAGGCTGGGCTGAGGGGCACCCCCCCTCCAGTGCAGGAATTTCATGCACCGGGCCTCTAGTTACCATATATCACCCCCATTTTCCCTGCTCCTTCCCCTACTCCTCACTACCTAGATGTATTGGTTATATTTTCAATTTTTAGTTCATTGACTATCTGTAAAAAGTTATATAACTTAAAATTTTTACTTGCTCTTTCAACTTTAGCCACTGTTTCTCAACATCTTATTAAGTACCACTCTGCACTAATCCTCTGTCTCTACCTTCTGACCCTTGTCAGCTTTATCATCACATGCATATTGTCAAGGTTTAGAATATTCACATCCCATCCTGTAAATATAATTAAAATCTCAGTGCTTCATTTGTAAAATTAGAACCTAATAACTAGCATTTACAACATGATGATTATGTAATAACTATTAATTCTAAAACTAGTTAATTGAGTAGACCCATAGAAAAAGGCAAATGCACTAAATCCCTGCAGCTATTTAGAATGTTACACACATCAAGATCAAATGGATTCTTGTTCCCTTCATTCCTCCAAGTGCTCATATTTCATTTGCTACATATTTTGCCATGACTTTCTTGTATATTTGCTTCTTTTATTTAGACTTCAATTTACTCTTCTCTTGTTGCAATAGATATTTCTATTCCACTATGTACTTAATCATATTATCCATTACGAAATAGTATCTTATTCTTTTTGAAAGACAGTCTTAAAGAAGCCTTCTGACTTCACATTCTAATCTGGACTGATTGCTTTCTACAATTGCTGCATATCTGTCATCCTGGGATTTCTTTTTATTATTCTACTAGAGGCCCAGTGCACGAATTCATGCACCAGTGGGATCCCTCGACCTGGCCTGCAGGATCAGGTCAAAACTGGCTCTTCAACATCCCCCAAGGGGTCCTGGATTGCGAGAGGGTGCAAGCCAGGCCAAGGGACCCCACTGGTGCACGATCGGGGCTGGGGAGGGATGTGGGAGGTTGGCCAGCCGGGGAGGGACCACAGGATGGCTCCAGGTCACGTCCAACCTGTCCTGCTCAGTCCCGATCAGCTGAACTCCAGCAGCAAGCTAACCTACCGGTCGGAGCATCTGCCCCCTGGTGTACATCATAGCAACTGGTCGATCAGTTGACTGTCTGCCCCTGGTGGTCAGTGTACGTCACAGTAAGCAGTTGAGCGGCCCTAGCATATCATTAGCATATTATGCTTTGATTGGTTGAGCAGATGACCAGACAAACGAACACTTAGCATATTAGGCTTTTATTATATAGGATTGAGTATATTTTTGATTCCTGGCAAATACTCTTTCTTTTTCTTGCAATTTAAAAAAATGTCCTGCTCCTGAAATAATGCAGGGTGGGACAAAAGTAAGTTTACAGTTGTGAGTATGTAAAACACAGAGTATCTTCTTATGTAATTATTAATTATTATGTTATTTTCTATACAAACAACTGTAAATCTACATTTGCCCCACCTTGTACTGAAGTAGTTCTCCCCTTCCACACCCCTACAGAAAGGATAGTGGAAGAAAGAGTTTTTGAATTCTTGCATGATGTAGAAATTTTTATTTGTTTCCTTATCTTTGGTTGGTAGTTTGGGTGGGTGTGGAATTCTATGTGTGAAACCACATTCCATCAGAACTCTCAGTACATTATACTATTGAAGAGAAAGAAATCTGGGGGTAACCTGATTATCAGTTCTTTATACAGATTGTTTTAAAATATCCTGATAGTTATTTATCCCTGATGTTCAGACATTCACAGAAATATGCCTAAGTAACTGCTTTAAATATATTTAATCTGATTAAGTTCCATAGACACTTTCAATATGGGAAGGGAGGAGTACCATTGTTCCTCTCAAGCTTACACTGAGCTAAACTAAAGAATCCTATATAATAAAGAGCTAATATGCTAATTAGACTGAATAGCAGAACAACTGTCTGGACGACATTCCAGACTACCGTCCAGGTGACATTCTGGATGAAGCCGGGCCTGCGAGGGCCGGCCAAGGCAGCCGGGGCTCCGAGGGCCAAGCCCCTTGCACGAATTTCGTGCATCAGGCCTCTAGTATGATATAATGTATTACTTTAGCATTTAAGAAGCTTTTATTCATTTAGAGTATTTATATGTTTATGTTGTGATGAATCCAAGCAAGTCTTTTTTTCTCTTTAAATATTTCCCCTTCCTTGGATATATACATGAAGCTACAAATTCTAACTGGTACAGACAAGTACACAAAGGGCTTTAATAGTAAATTCAAAGAAATATTATCTAGTTTCCCACTAACTTACATCTGCCAAGAATGCAATTCCTAACTTGTGTGCTATGGAGCTATTCAAAAGAATCCTAAGACCTAAATCCTCAAAAACCTTTAGCAAGGTAAGCTATAATACATTTGTGTGTATGCATGCGCGTGCGCACGCACACACACACACACACATACAGAAGTAAAGAACCTTGAGAAAAACTACAAAAACTAATTATGAAAAAAATAAAATCTTGTCCATAATTTTGTATATCTAAAACAATATCAATAATTGCTTCCTTGCTGGTAATGAAAATGGTAAATTATTTAGTCACTTTATTCACTTTCATTATTTTTATTATCAACTTTTGGCTATAATCTTCTATTTCACTTAATTTACCTGTCATTACAGATACCACTGTTGAGTTATGAAACTGGCTAAAATCAGCATGAGTTTCAAGTGTTTTTATTATGAAACCTGACAAATTGACACTGTTAATCTCTCCAGAGAACTGGTTGCTGTGAATGAGTATGGTT